GAAATAACTTATAAAACGAATTAAATTCGTGCGTCATTCCCAAATGAAAATGTCATCCCTCGTTCTCTTTGCTCTTTTGATGTTTCAGACGTTTCCTCGCCTTCAATTTTAGATAAAAATTAAACTCGATCAAGTATTTCGATCAATTTTAGATGCTATAAAAATATTGTTAGGGAAAGCAATTTTGATGTCATAAAATAGTTGCAAATTGAACATTTAATAATTAACTTCGTCCCCTTATTTGTGTACCTACATAGCGGTTCCCGTAAATGTAATTAAGTGATTTATTTTAACAATAAATTTATAACAGACTTGAAATCAGTTAAAATATTACCTGAATCACTCACAATTATGCCCTATTTATAACAGCACGAGCTACTTATCAATTCGGCGTTGAAATTGGAACTGAGTGAAACGCAATTTGATTTGCTGATATAGCAAACTGAAGTGCTGTCGAACGTTCTTCAACATTCTAAAGTACATCATATTTCTCGGAAAGATTGCGTCACATTCTTTTATCTTTTAATCGGGTCCGGCGTTTTCAATTTTTTAAACGAAATTTTAGTCAGGACATAAAACTGCGAAACTTCTCCCACTTAAGCTAATCGTTTTCTTCAATAATAACCCATGCCCCATACATTCCTACTGGATATGGGCCAAATTCATATTATTACAAGAGCTTTACGACAATGAGTGAATATGCCCATTATTTCGTTCGGAACAACTAGAGTGGAAATATTGATTTACTGGTAATATTCGCAGGACAGCAGTAAAGCGAATAATAGTGGTAATAGCTAATTTGCAATTTGAATCAATTAACACGTTTCGTTTAACTGTGTTATTTACGAATTTGGCCCGATTATCATTCTTGCTTACTTAATTGTACGTCATATAAATATTCCGATTTAGTAACGTTGTGTTGCGAACATCTTGTTTGAGTTGATTATACCGGGTGATTCAAAATGACTGCAGACAGTTTAAATTTTCCGCAAAACTCAACATACCAAATGTCATTTATCTGAAAGCGGCGGTAGATTAATTTAAGGATCACTAAACAATAATCACAATTAATTAATTAAAATATCAAGCACAATTGCACGTCCCGGTTCATGTATTCAAATATTTACTGTAACGAGGGATTGTCACTGTATATTTTTACATATTGTGAAAGAATCAATTAATTCATAACGGAGTTACAAAACATTTAACATTCAACAGTCGATTAACTCGCCCTTAATAAAAATTTCGCAGTAAAAGGAAGAAAACAGTACAAACGGTTGAGTCACCCCACCCCGTATGTGAAGTATTTCAATTTTTTAAAGTAAATGTGATGAGTTTTACGAATAAACACAAAGTGTGATCGTCTCTTCGAATTTGTATTTCACTATTCGTTTTTCCTTTTAGTAATTTGTATAGATACGTAATTTTTGCGTTTTAATTTTGTCGCTTTTGTAAATTGCTCAATTTAGATAAGGTGCTAGAAGTAAGACACATCTGGTCGAATTCTACGTGATTTATCTGTTCGTTTGCGATCAGAAGTTTTATTGTTAGGGAAAATTTAATTAATGCACATGTGGTTCAGATAAGAAGCTTCAGGTGCGCGTTTCTCGTCGTAAGTGGGGACACAAGACGCGTTCTGTCGAAGCTGGGGTTATTGAAGTCTAATTGTAATGGCGGTTTATGTGAAAATTCATAAAGGAGATTATTTTATGATGGAAGTGGTGGATCTTTGAAATACGGAAGACAACATTTAAAGACGACTTTTTCTTTATTGGTGACGATCTGGGTGCGTGATATTTCTTACACGATTATTTTGGGCAGTCGGCCTTATTTGTTTAGTTGAAGACGTAATTAATCGTGATTATAATGAGTAGAAAAAGTTTAAGTAATCGAATTGAGAGATTTAAGTCATAACGTCGTAAGGTGGGTTAGTAAAAGCTAACGGAAAAAGTAGTAGTTTGAGTGTGATTAAACCAAGCAGTTGTTGCATAGTAAAGCCTTTCGACAAGGTTTGTCCTTTTTTTAAGTAAAAATATGAAAATCCGCCAAATGTCATCTATTTCAACAAGCCAGTTTTTTTAATTAGCAGGATCTAGTTTAACAAAAACATAGAAAAAAGGTGAACAATTGCCTATTTATGTTTACATAGAATCCAGTGGCGTAGTAGTAGTAGTATTAGTTGGACCACGTTTTCTGAGATATGCCCCACAGTTGGTATATTTAAACACTCTGTATATCTTCAATTTGTTTGTGTTCTTTTTCCTGAGTACATTTATGTGTCGCAACTTACATATTTTTGGATTATAACCATGAACCAAAAATACAAACGCCATTTTTGACGGTTTTTTAATAGTAGGCCATGGATTCATGGAGATTTTGTTTCGTTAATTGTATCCATGGTGACTAATGCAGCCGATCGCAATCAATAACAATGGCTGACCGTCATTCCAAAAAATTTAAAAATAATCAGATATCAGACATTATAAAAAAATATAGGTAGGTGATGGATTAACGTTAAGATATATACAGGGTGTTGCATTTAAGTCATACCAACTTTGGGTTATATCCAAAAATTTTTTACTACGCCACTGGATAACTACATAAAATATCTAAAACATTGGTAATAAGATATGATAACATCTCAAAAAGTCAAACTTTTCGCTGTCACTCTGTACCTCAGAAACAATCGTAACTAGATTGATTCTTATTAGTTCCTTTTACCTACTGTTCCCTCGTGAGCCTTCTTCACCTTCTGTTGCTGTAGTTAATGTCCATGCTTGTCAGCTCATCTTCTTATGCTTCCCCTCCTTTTGAACTTAGTTCGTGTTTATCCATTTCTTTCATACCTAGTATTTATCTCTTATTCTTGCCACATTCCTTTTGTGTTCATTGTCGGTGATGAGGATTCTTTTACTAATTGATTTTCTCTTCCGGTACTTTCCTCAAATTGTACCGCTCTGCGTCATGACGCTATTCTTAACTTCTCCATCTTTGTTTTCTTCTCTAATACAGATATTGGTGTCCTTCCGTTGAACCCGAATACTTTGTATTCTTTCGCTAATCCCATTCCTTTCACCCTCATATCTCCGTTCCGTATATAAACACCCCTCTCACCATTGCATCGAACAGGTATTTTCTTGATCTAAAGTCATTTTTGAAGCTCTTCTCTGTTGTTCACTATACCTGCCACTTCGCCACTTCCATTTTTTTCTTAGTTCTTTTATTTGCACATTTGCCCCATTATTTTATTGCAATAGACATATCTTACATCCTCTACTCTTTCCTCCCTCCCCTTTCCTCGGTCCCCTTTTCCAAATTTTATGATCTTCGACTTTCCGGCATTTAACTCCATTCCCATTCTTTCCCCTCTCAATTCTTCCCATCATTTCCTTCATCCCTTCTACCTCTGTTGCTAAAATTATTTGGTCGTCCGCGTATGCCACTACGATTCCTCCTCATTCGATGGGTGCATAAGGTGCATAATCTTATTATTTAAAAAGCGGAGTGAACAAAGTCAGAAAGAAAACTTAAATGTTGAAAACGTTTCTAAAAAATTGAGGACATACCCAGAAAACCTAAGTTATGGTTGCTGGGAAAATAAATAAAGAAGAAATTCAAATTTTGGTGCTTTCATTCTGTCGTTTTGATAAAGACTGATCAGTGAAGTGTAAGATGTCCAGTCTTCAATTGGCAGAAATGACGGTCCGCCGCTTTACTCCAAATCTTCACGATCTCATACTGAGATTGGAAAGCGCATACGTTCTTTTAAAGCCACATACAATATTATGATTTTCCTTGTCTTTCACAATAAATATTCCATTTATTTTTTATGTAATTATCTCGCCACCCATCGCGCCGCCATCTTGCGCCATGCTCGGACCAGTTAAATGCACCATTTTTTAACATCTCAAAAAGTCAAACTGTTCGTTTTCACTCTACGCCTCAGAAACTTTGCCAATATTACCGGCTTCATCCTTTCACACGCAGCAACATACATAATGAACTCCAAAATAGCACACAACAAAGAAAAACTGTGACCATTACGAAATTGGATGTAGCTCTAGACGATGATATCACAGATAAATTAAATTGCTATAGCCTGTGGTCATATAATGATGTTCGTTTACTGACCATTAAAAAGAGGAGGTATCCCCCCTATTTTATTCGGGTATAGTATGATATTTGTTCAATGAGCGCGAATCCCTCAATTATGTTCGAAAGAACACGAAAATCTTCCCGAACTTGTTTATTTCTGCAATAAAAGAAAGTTATTTACAAATACGAAAGTAATAACCTACGGTTAACTGGAAAAATTTTCTAGATTCCCCAATCTTTTTAGGGGATTTTCGTGTTTCTGCGGAATTTGGGCAATTTAACGATTCAAGGCTCATTCATGTGAACAAAATCGCGAACGAGTCGGCTAGGTACACGGTTTGAACTGTAAATAAAGTAGTAACAATTTACTTAAAACGGAATCCGTGGATTTTCCGTGTTCTAATTTAGTTCAGAATTAGATTGTCGTTGATTTTGTCATTTCGAATAAAAAAACTGGCGACGGCGGTTACGTAATTTTTTTCGTACCAATCTCTTAATGTAATGCGATCAGTGACTGAATTGCTTTTAGATAACTTTCCAAATGGACGCCTTCTAAAGGGCATTAAAATCGAATCTTATTTCAATAAATTTCGTGTTCCAATCTAATTTCTAATGTGACTTCAGTCCGGTTACGTTATAGATGTTACAAAGGCGTGGAAAATTGACATTCAGTTCCATAGGAGTTATTGTCGGTTGCCGTAAAATTATTAAGCCTCGGGCTTTAAACCATTCTTTCAGGAACAAAAACTCTTTTTAATCCCTTGTTACTTAATATACTATTTGCCTTTTGCGGAACATCCGCAACAAAATCCCTCGGCGTGACTCGAATAAGCACTTTTTCTTAGTATTTACGATGTTGGGGAATTGTCGATTATAATTCTAATGCCTAATTTTGTTACAGGTGTGCATGGGGGGCGATGGGTGGCACTGCGGCTGAGGGGGGGCTGCGGAGGCGGATGCCGTTGCGGCGGTACCGTGGTGGACCTCCTGTGGGCGCAGGAGCGCTGTCCACCCGGGCCATGCGCTACTACCGCCTCTGGATCTACACGTGCAACACGGCGTTGCTGGCTGGATCAATTGCCTTTTGTGGAGCTGCGGCAAGGACATTAATTTTCGATTACCGCCGCTTCCTGATACCATCGCTTACGCTATACCAGCCGTCGTTTTTGTACGCTTACCTAGCCCTCGCTACGCAAGGAGGAGCGCTTCAGATACTGGGATGTGTTGGTGCCGTTCGACTATCGGAACGCATGCTAAATGCGTATTGGTTACTGTTATTGGTGCTATTGTTCGGTGACGTTGTACTTGGCGCGTTTTGGGCATTTCGATTCGATAGAGTTTGCCAAGAGCTGAGACCAGGGTTGCGGATCAAGTTGTTGCAAGAGTATGGCGCGGGGGGTGACCTAACTATACTATGGGACCGTTTGCAAAGAGAAAGCGAATGTTGTGGACTTACCGGTCCAGGGGACTATAATAATCGGAGTGGATATCAGTTAGAAATGCCGCCGAGTTGTTGCGCGGAACCATCTCGGAATGTTAACGAAACCAGGTGTGTACGGCCGCACGCCAGTGGATGTGATGAACGGCTACTAACATATTTGCGGGATACCGCTTCGTTGCTAGCTATTTTAGGTGAGCCATATTTATTAGCAGTAGGTAAAAGAGAATGGAGCTTATTGGTACGTAAGTGGTACCACTTGGTAGTCCTGGCCATAGGTACCATGCCCATCCCCAAACACCACAACAAATTCTATAAAGACCCCGAAATCCACAATAGCCCTTTACTCCAAACAATATATATATCGCCCACAGCGCTTGGAACCGGAATCGGAAAAAAACGAAATTGGAACCGGAACCGTTATTGAATAAATTAGTGACATTGGAACCGGTTCGATTTTCATTCTCAATCAATTCCTGCGTACCAGATCGTAAAACGGTTATAGTTATTCCACCTAAGGAATTAGTTCCTTGAGTGAAAGGTGTACTTCCGTAAAAAAAAAGGGGGGGGTCATTTTTTACACCAATGCAATACCTCCCTTACTAACGTGCAGGTGTGTATAAAAAATAATAATTATGTTTATTCATAAATATTTTGACTTTTACTACTCCTAGAATCCTTACAGAACTGAACAAAAAATGGAACCGGAACCGGAATCGAAAATTACTATATCCAGACAACCGTAACTGACCCCGGAATATAAGTATGCAACCGGAACCTATCGGTTCAAATGGGTTCTAACCCCTGCCTCCCACGATGACACTTGTTTAAAAGTTCTATGTGAAAGTGGGAGGGTTGGAAGGTTGGATTTAGCGTTATTTGTTGTAGTCGACAGTGAGTAGCGACGTGACTCTTTAAAAAGTTAGTTCGCGGAGCCCTGAAGAAACCCACTCTTTCGGTATAAAGTCAACTTTTAATGGCGATGAGAGATCAAATCTGTTCAAGCAGTCATAGCATCAGTTACATTGCAAGATCCACAGAATACCATGGTTTTCAAAAGAATACCACAGATTACCATAGATAGAACATCAGTAATTACCACAAAATACAATATAGTCGGTGTTTTCGTTTTTCGAAAACTTTCTCTTCACTTTACACTTTTCTATTCATAACGTGATTATTCTTCCACTGAAATCTGGTAAAAAAAATTCCAACCGTGGCCCCACTCTTTCGTAACTACCACTATTTGAGTAACCATGAAAAATTAAAAATACGCTTGACTTTCCTCACAATAAAATACCCTTTACGAGTACTAAATTTGAATCCATTTACAGGAAAATTCTCACTAACTAAAACAAATCAAACCTTAAAAGGAAATTAGAAATCCTTGTTAATGGGCTCCTAGGTAATAATTTTTTCTAAAATAACAAAATAACAGGCTCTAATTAGCCTGGTTGGTACCAGACTCAAACAAAGAAGAATTTTTTTAATCATTAATGTCAATGAAACATTTACTCAAGGGAACCAATTATTAATTTTGTACAAAACAAAAGGATAATTTTTTACAGTACCTCTTAAATAATGGTCCTTGAAATTAATAACTTTCGTAGCATACAGAATCGGTAAGGCCCTTCGTGTACAAATGATACCTTCTGAATTACCATTGTTTAATTGATAGTGGATCTAAAGTAGTACTGCAGTTGGCCTCATCAAGATTCTCCTGATAATGTTTCGCGGGTATTGACTAGCATGTGGTTTTTATTGTCCACTGCCCGGGGGTTCCGCCAAGATAACCCTTATAACTTTCCCAAATAACATAGGTATGCTGATTACGATCGACTTTCGCTACGGACTCGCTATTCCCAGACACCCGGATTTCCAAGTAAGTGTAACGGGAAAATTATGGGGACCGTAGGAAAATATTTCGGCAGTTGGCCCTGGTCAAATTTTGGCAATTGGTCCGGAATGCAAATTCGGCAGTTAATCCGAGATGCGGGATCATATTTCGGCAGTTGGCCCGGGATGATATATTTCGGGAGTTGGCTCGAGGTGCTTTGATAATTGATTCGGAGTATTTCGGAGGTTGGCGGTGGGGTATTTCGGTAGTTGGCCCGGGGTTACCCGTCATCTTGCATGCTGGATCCAGCTAGGATGCTATACCCGATACTGGATCCGCCATTTTGGATGCTGGACCCAACTTCATGGATGATGGACCCTACACTTTTACGTCACCGGTGATTGCTGGATTTTTTTATTGGTATGGCTTTGGGATTCGAACCTGCGATACCTGAAATAGAAGGCTAGCGCGTAACCACTTCAGTTACGGGGACTTTAACAATTTTTTAGTTACAGGTTGAAGAGGTGTAGTTTAAACTTTATTCATTTTGAAAACTGTGCAAAATTGCATTTATTTAAGCACACAACATGTACAGGGTAATCTAAATCGATTGTATCGACAATGGTATCGATGGAATTTATTCAGAGAGTAGAGTTATTAAGAGGTGGAAAAACCGGGCCCTATTCTGCTCCCCTGACAGCCCTGTATGCGATAATCCGTCCAGGTTCACAGTTGCATCCTCTTACACAAAAACGTCATTGCACAAGACACAAACATTCAAACATAGCACTTCGCATGTACACTCGCTACGATTGGAAGAAGAATGACTGGTTAAGGTTATGCGTTAACGTCAGACTAATGACGATAAATCCAATATTTTGTCTGTACTACACCGTTATTTTCGCTGGTCTTAGAAACTAGATTAAGCTGTCGATTAAAGTCCATTCCCCGCTGTTCAAAGTCCAAAGGTTGCCGACCCCTGAAATATGTGTATGTGTTTGTGATTGAATATTGAAGACAGTTTCTTAACCGTTAGATGAACTTATTAATCTAATAGATGGCGGTTAGGTTCCTATCCATTTAAATACAGCTACTGAGACACTGGAGTGATAAAAAATATACCAACCTGAACGCAAACGTGAACCCAAACGTGAACGCAATCTCGAACGCGAACGTGAACGCGAACTCAAACCTGATGATTCAAGTTCAAAGTTCAGCGTTTCAGGGTCCAGCATCCAAGATTATGGTTCCACCATCCAGTATGGTGGATCCAGCATACGAGATGGATGCAGCAACCAAGTTCGCGGGTACAGCATCCTAAATGGGCCCCAGATGACGCGTACCCCCGGGCCAACTACCGAAATAGCTCCGTGCCAACCTCCGAAATACCCCGGGTCAACTACCGAAATATATCACCCTGAACCAACTGCCGAAATATGGCACCCCAAGCCAATTGCCGAAATGTGATCGCGCACTCCTGGCTAACTCCCAAAATATTTTCCCACGGTCACCAGAATTTTCCCAGGTTAAAGTACCGTTATGCTACTTTTATACTTCAGCACTAACACTTCACGTTCTCATGATAAGAAAAACCCAATTAGACTTTAGTTCGACCACGGCCAAAGCCCAAATACTTTTGATTACTCGCAATTAGCTCTACACCGGCTCAAAACCGAATGCCCAAAAAATCTTTCCTTCTATTAATCCCTACCTAACCCTTTTAATTAATTAACACCCCAAAATGGCGCTTTATTCATGAAATCGTCCATTTTTAATGAAGAATTAATCCGATTTATTTCTTCTAGTGAATTAAAAGGGAGCTAGGGTCATAACTCAAAATTCCACGCTAGTTAAAATGTGTTTTTCCCAGAATCTTCAGTTAAATCTTGCAACGAAATTCCCAGTCAGCAGTTTTGGTTATGTAGACCTAATTAGCATATAAAAAACAAGGGCGTTTCACTCGTAATGTAAACAGTGGCTACACCTAATTCTACAATCTTACAATTCTGGAGCACGGAAGAGGCTGGTCAATGTTTGTCTGCGAGATAATGCAACGGGGTTGGAATTTAAGGGGGAATTTAAGCTATTAAATAGGCTTTAAATGTGTATTTTAGTCAGTTTCAAAGACACATCGACGATTTTAATGTCATATTTCCTTTTAAAGGTCGCCAAGCTCGCGTTCGGCTCCCGAGCGTTACGCGTCCTCTATATTCTGTGGAGTTGCGCATGAGAGGATTTTACTTCCGTCCAAAACATATAGTGCATACCGAGCGATAAGAAGTAGCCACTTCAAAAATTGTCTTAGCACAATATTTATTTGGTCCACGTCATCCCTTTACTTAGATTTTGTGTTGGGTTACTTCTCTCCGGAAGTGAATTTTATAACCGGTTTTTCTAACCTGCTATGCTCGCAAAATTGAACACTGAATTATGCTAAACTTTTGAATATATAAACGACAAAATCAGTACGAACTAGATTCCATTTACAGATGTCAGAATGAAATCGAAATGATTACTGTTCTTAATTCAAAACCCGAAAAACATTTTGAGCAGTACGATTAACACTCCCGTGACCCTAATTCGAAAGAAATTTTCTTGCGGTGGTCCCCCAGAAACGAATTTCTCCCAAACAATTCCAGACTAATCCCTACAACCTACTACTTGTTAATTAACGCCTTTGAATGCAGGAAATCTAGATTGTTCCTTAAGGAGCCCACGCTCTGGAATTCGGCTGAATTAGATGTGGACAATGATCTCTGCTATCGTTGCAACTAAAACCCTACTGAGATAGATCTCTTTTAGTACCCACTGTAGCCGAACGAATTCCGCAATTCATTATGAGGTCAACAAGTCGTAGAATTTAATACGCAGCGAAAATGGCCGCTACCTTTATTTGAAAACTCAGAATTTCCTACAAATCTTGCCCATCAAAAGCCTGCGACAATGTGTAAGAATGTGTAAGAATCTCCGAAATTACTACTTTCTAAAAATTCGAAAAAAATAAATCCAAGCTGCCGTTGCACGAAACATGAACTTTATAAGAAAACTTCTCCTTTGGCCCACTTCCTATATCAGATGATTTATTGAAACAATCCTGCTAGTTCTACATGTATTATAACTTGTCCTAAGTGGAGTCAGCGAAAATATTAGCTGGAGATTATGACACACGTCGTTTGAAATGGTACGCCGTACTTTTTATTCGTTGACAAAATTTGCGGACTTTTTTAAATAATAAATCAAGAGCTGCGGACTATTTATTTACCTACCCCCACACGCAACCTCAAGCTATCCATTAACAATAAAAATAATTCACATAAATCTATCAATAAACTCACGTGTGTTGGAGAAATCATGGCA